AGACAGACACGGGGGGCGGGGGGCGGCGCCGGGACCGCCCCCAGGCAGGGGCGAAGCGGTTGGTGGGGGTTGGAGAAACTCAGCCCCGATATTCAGGTTTTTACATCAGCTGCTGCCGTGAGTTTGTATCAAGAGCCTCACAGCGGTTCCACACAACGAGTACCTTTGGATAGGAAAATACGCTTCTCATTATCAAATAAAATTAACAAGATACCAGTAGGTAAAGAGACATAGCAGGTCAGCAGCAGAATGAGGAAAACAAAGGTGAAATAGTGATATTACCTAACTGAGCGGCAGAACTCCCATTGATTTCATCAGGTCGAGATTCACCCCAGGAACACCATCCCTAAATTCAGGCATGCAAGAAATATAAGCGAGTTTCAAGTCAAGAGCCAGTTTCCAAATGTACTTTACTAATCCTGCTTGAATATATACAAAAAGGATTTCTTATGCAGTTGTACAGCTACATCAATAATACCAGCATGAAAAATGGTCCATCAATAGCAGCAATATCTATCAAACCAAGGATCAATGTACAGATGCACTCTTTTCTCACGAGGAGTAATGTCTCTATATGAGTTCCAGATAAATGTCTGACTTCCTAAAATATGCTGGCTTTGGCTTGGCATTCAGTTTTGATGGATGCCTGGACTTCACCTTGGTATTTATTTAGCAGCAGGAGACTGTTATCCCAAGAAAACATTCTACCTCTTTGACATCTTTTAATTAACATTTCTTTCTGTTCTGGCCCTTTGTGTACTTGCCCCAGTACAAGTTCAGCATATCTACCTTTTATTTCTTGTTACTGACTACTTAATGCTTGGTGCTTAATTAGAGTTTTAGTGTTGTTTGGTTAACTAGATACAAATATAATGTGTTGTTATTTCATCTAAATTAACTTTTAAACTTAAATTAAAAATAAACTTGCAGACTAGTTTCCATATTTGTCGGATGTTGTAAATCGGTTTTCATGTGTGCTTTCTCATTAACCATTCACATCTAAACTATGACACCTGCACTTCTCCAAACAGACAGTTAGCTTAGCCATTCCTTCTTTCACCACCAAAAATCAAACGAAAATATCTACTCCTCTGTTCTGGCTAGCCGTGATGTTTGCTGCTTTAATTTTCCTCCTCTTGTGCCGCAGTAAGTTGGATTCTCACCTGCAGGCTGATTCCCACCAGGCCCCTCAATAATACCTTTTCCTTTCTGCGTCAGTGGCAGGGACGTGCTCTCTTGGAGACACGCTAAGGAAATGCTGCTCATATTTAGACTAATACCTGTTCACTCTTGCTGGGGTACAATTCTTTTGGCTCCAGCAGCAAAAGAAATATAATCAAGACGTGTACCTATTTCCATGTAGGACACACTATTTAAGATAATATAAATTAGAAAATATTGTTTATAGTATGTATTTACCACCTGGGCATTCTGTGATTGTTGCTCTTGATACTGCCACGGTTCCAAGGAACTGTGGTTGCGGACACCGAACACCCAACAAGCCGTCTGCACATGGGCAGCCCTCAACCCAGAGGGGCACAGCCCGACTGCAGAAACATTTACAGTTAGTTTCATTATCGCAATGAGTTTCTAACAGTTTTTAAACAAACCATATGGGGCATAACATTGTTGTTCAGTCTTAACTTTTTGTGTAGGAAGTTAATTATTTCCTCATGAATTAGGCACAAGAAATGCACGAGAATGACCCGTGCTGGATTTCGGACATTCTCCAAGCTCCAGTTTTCTGCCAGCAGACTTTTCAAGGCGAATGGATTAGGAAACCTTACAGCATGGTAGAAGAAACAGAGCTGGGCAACTAACGACATTTTTGGTTCACTAGTCACTCTGAAAAAAACTTTTTTGAAGAAAATCTGGGGTTCATGTTATCTTTTTACAACATGGCAATACTTAAAGTGAAATTTTTAAAAAAGCCAGTCTGTCCTAAAATTGTATTTTAAATACGTATAACTGAAATATTTTGATTTAAAAAAAATAAAAATCAGACTCAAATAAATAATAAACTTTTAAATTAACATACATTCACAAAAGGTACTGGAATAGTTAAATCCATACTTTTGGCTGAAAGATATTTCCCTTAAAAGTTCTGCTGAGTTATAATCTTCTCTTTACAAATTTGAAAAACAGGGCAATAGGCATAAGTCAGCAGCAAATATGAGATGATCTAAGTGTCTTAGAATAAAAGCACATACTTGTAACAAGCAGAAAATAGTTACAGACCATACAGAACCCAGCCTTCTCTAAATTTCTTGGAATCCTTCAAAATTAGGCCCCAAATATACCATAAAAGTGAGAAAATAGATTAATTACAACCCAGCTCATGCAGTGTACTGGTGTTATTTCTCAACTGATACCTCTATTTTCCCAAGACAAAGGGAAATATTTTCTCCTTATACCATTTTGCTTCTGTTGAGACAAAGTGCAACTTGAATGGCTTTGACAATATTATGGATAACACTGGGAGCCTGTGGTAAGGGAGTTTATTAATTGCTGCATACTTGAAAGCACAGGCATATCATTGTTATAATAAATAACCAGCAACCTATTAACTCTCAAGGTTTGGCCTGTTTAACGTGCTCTTCATCATCCATTCATCTCATGTTGAAAAATCATAAAAAGCACCTCTGGGAGGACGGACTGTCTTCCAAAGAGAAATACTTTTTTATAATGGGGCCTCAGTTTGAAATTGATTCAGATAATGGACCTGCCCTTCTGGGGAACTCTGTTCAGGCTGTTCATGTGGTTGGTCTGTTCAAAGTTCAGGGATCCACTTGTGCGGATCCATTTGAAGATGAGTCCCAGAGTCTGAATTGCTAGCAAAACCAACTTTTAGCAAACAGAAAAACAAGTCTGACTAATGTCCCATATAAAAGAGACTGGCTGGTCGGGCCTGCCAGTAATTGTGTCAGTTTATTAGATCTGTTCAAGTAATTTGTTGCACATTAATTCTTTAGTAAAATGCGGGAATTTGGCAAAAGCTTCTCAACCTCCCATAGAACAGAAAATTACTTCTTAGTTCTGATGTTCCATGATGGTGAAATTACTTAAACAGTGGTGAAACATTTTCCATGTCAAGAAACAGTGAAGTTAGAGACAAATGTCAGTGGTAGCAAATTCATGATACTATGAAAATCGGGACTGTGGATCCAGTCATCAATAATCTATA